ATATCAATCAATGCCATCCAACCTAGACGATCTTTGGAAGCGTGTAGAACTGAAGTGGAACCGAGTTCCAAATGAATAAAAAATGTAATAGCTAATAAGGGCCTGTGGACAAAATATTGATTTAGAATCATATTTAGTTTTTTTCACTGAAGGTGCCAAATTGTACACATGCGTTTTGTTTCAGTTTTCTTTGTTTGAATATTTTACTGATTAACTTTTGTTTTTGTTATATACGTCAATTTGTTAATAATTAAATACATATTATGGGAAGAACGGTTTTTTGATTTGCTTCATTCGTTTGGAAATTATTGACTCACAAAGTTGAAAGTGTATATATATATGTATATATTGCAAACAGCAAATATATGTGTTGTTTTGTATCTCATCTTATCATTAAGTATTCGTTTTTTAACATGTGAAAAGTTTCCAGTAACAATATTTACGTTTGGGTTCGAGTTTGAAATTAGCCGCCGTAAATCTCGGCAAAGGCTAGAGCAGCAAAGGGATGTATAATTTAGTTCTTACTGTATTTATAGCTATGCATATATCTCTTAATGTTGGCCTCTTCATATCAATGCAAATAAAACATGTGGAGGCAATTGTGAAAAATGTATTGTTGCTACTACCTCCCGCCGTGTTGAGAGCGAGAGATAAACAGAAAAAGAGAGAGAGACTCGTTTGCCACTTGATGGATTTTAGTAGCTCTTATGCTCATTTCCATTCCATTTTCATGTCATTTTCAATTCCATTCGCATTTGGTTTTAAGTGGGTACTAACATTTAAACAACCATTCCTCAAAGAAGCACACGCACACAGGCACACACACACGCACACACAAACACGCACACACACACGCACACATATCCATACATATGCCGTTCTTTAGCTTTGCTCTCTCCCTCTCAGAGAGAAAGAAAACGTGCCGAGAGTGCGTCGAGTTTATTTGTGTAAAACAGTAAAATGTTTCGATTACAAATTTCTGCCTGGCCGCATAGCATTCAGGTTGTTCAAATATGTTTATTTATTTAATATGATTATATTCATTCGTCTTACTTAATTCCTGTTCAAGCAATATATTGATGAAAAGTGGCTCGCTCGGACCTAATTTTGAGAAATACAATCTCGATAACACTTCAAGCCGTTTATAACTAACATACCCGTTTATAACTATATACACGAGGCAAGCTAATTAAATTAAAATTTTCTCATTTATAAACAAAATACAGCAAAATTTACAAAGTAATTGGGTTAAATTTACGTATAAGAGATATGTGTTTTTCAGAGAGACTATATATAGATGTGACTTGACTTGTGTGCTTGACAGGTTGTATTGTATTTATCTCGTTTATGTTAAGATATCGAAACACATACTCTATCTCGTTCTCTCGCTCTCTGCCACACACACATATAGCTTATCACAAAAATGTTGTGTAGAAACGCCAGCTTCCGGTGAAGCTGAAAGTTTTTATTCGGTTGAAGTTCTAATTAAATGATATATTATCAACAACAACAGCCGCAACATGCAAAGTTGATCTGCAACAATAGCTGCCGCAAGCTGATGCTCGTTTGCTGCTTCACTTCGTACTTTTTTTCACTTTTTTCTCGCTCTGAACAAAAACATAATATTAAAAAAAAAAAAAAAAAAATTCAAACAAGCTGGTTCAATAACAATTAGTGAGTAATGTGCAAATCTCAGTAAGCACTTACAGCGTAAATACTTGCTATTTTTAACAATACAATCTAAATACTCTTTTTTATTTTTAATGCGTAGTTAAAAAAAATAAAACGTTTTAGTTTTACTTTTGATAAAAAAACTGCGATTATATTAAACTATAGAATTTGACGCACTGTTTCACTATGACTCACGTATGCATATTTATATAAAATTTAATCGTTTTCGCTTTCTTTTGACATTTTCGATACCAATTAAACAGTTGTATTTCGAGAAATAAATCTTATGATGCACTTACCGTTCGATTATGCCTGAAGTCGCATCTCAATATCCTGGCATGACAAAAGCACGGAACGCAAAGGTTCTCGGGCTGCGCGTCGTCCACAACAGCGACCCTAGCCGCGGTCGTATAAGCCATTAAAAAGAAAAAGAGACTCCACATGGTGGCACACTCTTTTTTTTCGGTTTCTTATGTTTTTTTTTTTGCTGCTTTTCAAGCAAATTGTATTTTGCTATTATGTGTCAAGAGTTATATTTTCTTTTCGAATGCGAAGAAAAAAAAAATTGCAAATTATTCACAACGCCGCGCACAACCCAACCTTCCAGCACGATCGTCTAATAAATACTATTTTCATTGAGTGCGTTCTTGTTTGTGCACTCTCTCTCTGTGCTCTCTCTCTCTGTGCTCTCTCTCTGCTCAGCTGTGCTTGGTTTTGTTATACATACATGCATACATACATATATGCTATATTATTTGTGATCTCTTATACACTTGACTGCTCGATCGGTTGAACATGGACATGGCTGTCGGCGGTGGGCTCGAGTCACAATTGGGGTTGGGGCCTAACTCCATGCGCGACCAGGAAATAGAAAAACGTGTTTCCCACAGGTAGCACACGCACGCACGCACACACACACAAACACTAACCCACACACACGCATGCATGCACATGCCACAGTTGGTTGCAGGCTTTTGTCATTTATTGCATATCTCTTTTCCATGCTCCACTGTGTGCGTGTGCATGGACCTTGACCAAAGATTGAATAAACCCCACATCGGCGGCGACTGCTTTACATAGGGATTTATCAATTCCTACAGTCGCATAACCCATTGGGTGACACAGCTTAAGATACGCGGACAGACTGGCGGCGTATCCGAACCATCTCGCAAGTAACTTGGCTATCAAAAACAATAGACGAGGGCTTAAGAGATTACAGAATTAGTTAAATTAGTAGCATTAAGGGCACAATTTAACATGATATACAGGCATATGGGCGCACTCATTAGAAAAGGTTTCGAGCTAAATGTGCTATAAAGCCTATAACAATTAGCTGCAATAAACAAACATATATTAAAAAAAAACTTAATATGTCACGCCATATATACAATATACGACATACATACATATGTATATATATATATATATATATATATATATATATGTATAACTCATAAGTTTCGCCACTGAATTACCTATTAAAATTCGTTAAGTTATTAATTTCACAATTTGTGTAATTCATATTGGAAATAATGCAAAGTAACTTTAAGCTGACATCTGTTAATGTAACAGAACATGCAGACTTAACGGCACATATTAATGTTAATGTATATATATATATATATATATATATGTATGTATATGTACATGTATATATACATATATCTGTGCTCTCTCTCTCTGTGCTCTCTCTCTGCTCAGCTGTGCTTGGTGTTGTTATACATTATTATGTTATACAAACACTAACCCACACACACGCATGCATGCACATGCCACAGTTGGTTGCAGGCTTTTGTTATTTCTTGCATATCTCTCTATGTTGAGAACGGGTTACACACGCACGTACGTGGTTTTGTTTTTATTTTCTCCTAATTTGAATTATATACATTTCAGACACTGGTCTCTTTCTCTCTCTCTCTCTCTTTCTTTCGCTCTCTCTCTCTCGTTGTCTTGCTTTGCTAGCCGTTTACACTCTCTCCTCTCTCTCGGTGTGAGTGCTAAGATCACACATACACGCAGGCAGACACAGATATAGAAACGTGAATATGCATGTCCATATGCTTAAGCATACATACAGTGGACCAATGTCTTCGTACAGCAATGATTTTTTTCTTTGGCAACGAATAAGTGATACAAGATGTATGTGTGACAGTTACTGATAACATGTCTGAAATGCATATAAAAATAACATTGTATGACTATACAATACCGTAATTGATATTAATAATTAACGTTAATAATAATAATAAGCTGGCAATTGAAACACACTCAAATCGCCATATCGATTCCGCGAATAGAGTCTTATTGGAATGCAAGTGTGTTTAATGGAAATGCGCTGGCCAAACGTTTTGTTTAATACCTTCTGTTTTAATTAACGGACTTGAATGCAATTCTTAGCATACGATCTATCAATTATACATGAAAAATGCGAACTCTTTTATATATTCCAAACCTTTACATATATTCGTATACTCTTGAATTTTGAACCTACTCATAAGTAACATACACATACCCACGATCATACGCACACATCAAAAGTGTTGATAAGCAAACCCACCCACACACACATACATATTGCTTGAGATGGCTTTTGCAAATTGGCCAAACGGTTTGTTTAATAACTTCTAGTTTACTTAATGGAATTTAAGGAAATTTGATATTAGAGATGCAAACGCCTTCACATAATGGCCCTATTTCTAACTGAACTTAAATATAAAGAATTTGGGGAAATTTTTAGCAGGTATCCAAAATTCAACAAAAATCAAAATTGCTTAAAATATAAATAAAACTAAATGCAAAACTTGGAGGCTCTAGCTCTTAAGACGTCCAAGATATAATTTATTAACTGCTTATTCGATAACAATGAAATGCGAATAGTTATCGAATATTTGAAACAAACTCGATATGCGCGTGCTGTACAGACGGGCAGACGGACAGGGCTCAATCGACTCGGCTTGTCATCCTGATCTAGAATATATATACTTTATGGGGTCTGCCACGCCTCCTTCTGCCTGTTACATACATTTTATCAAAACCGTCATACGCTGATTTTCTACCTGCAATGGCACACAGTTCGACAACTGAACGTCGCTGTAGTTTTTGTAAGCGATACGTGATACGTGATAAGATACGTGACTTTTATCGCTACGTGTGCTTCGTTCCGCCGAAGGTGTGGTTAGGCAAGTGAAAGGAATGAAAAGTAAAGGACGAAAGACTAAAAGAGAACCACGTTTTTATTGGGAAGATCGAACGATCGGCTTATCGAAATAAAACTTTGCGCATGGATTTAATATTAGAACTGCAATTTCTTCTTCTTCTGCTTCTTACAGCTCGCAGTCGAATGAGCGACAGTTTCTTAAGGACTTTATCAGCGGTGCCCCCGGCTCGTCGGGTGCCCGTCTGGCCGCTTGGCTGCAGCCGGAGTCTCGTCTCGATCCCAATAAGTAAGTTGTATTGGATGCTTGTAGAGACAAGGACTAGGCTTATGCCGACTACTCTGATCCGTTTCAGGTGTGAGCTGAATACAATAACGGAACCGTTGCGGTACGGTTGGCCCACCCAGGTGACCGTCACGATACGCGATCAGTATGGCGATGCGGTCCTTGTGCCAGAGCTCAAGGTGGAGATCAAGGCCATACCCACCGGACCGGATCGAAGTGGCGGAGGCAACCTCAAGATGCGACGCACCTCGTACGCAGATGAGGGCTCGAATGCGGGTCAGGGTCTAGGCGCTCAGTTGGGCGGAATGGCGCCGCCACCACGATTGAACTATGAAGCCACGACCAAGGAAAAGATGTGCTTCAAGGCGATTACCTTCATGAAGCCCTACACGAACTACTCGTTCGAGGAGCTACGCTTTAGCAGCCCAGTACAGACGCGAACGACGGAAGCTCTGTCCGCCCAGGACATGGAGGATGGCACCTTCAGCGTGCACTGGACGCCGAATTCGGTGGGCGGCTATTGTTTGGCCGTCACCATCGATGGCATACCGCTCGAGGAGGTTTATAGGGTCGAGGTAAAGGAGGGTGTACTGCCACCGCCCACTCAAAGGAGCAGCGCGACCCGTCGGCCACAAGCGCCAAGCAAACTGCGGCGATTTCAGGCGAGGCACAGCGCTGGTCTGCGCATACGCTCCCATCCCACGTTGCAGTCGGAGCAGGTGGGCATTGTGCGGCTAGGTGGCATCATATCCTTCATTGATGAGATCGAAAATGATGACGGCATCTGGCTGCGCCTGTCCACGGAGTCCATACGGCAGCACTGCACCATGGGCTGGTATCCGACGGAGGCGTGGTGCCTGCAATTCAATCAACATCTAACCCGCACACTGCTGCAGCCGGTCAACGAGGCCAAGCCCAGGTCCAAGCTGACCGCAGTTGGCGGCGATTTGGCTGAGTCGGATCAGCAGCAGCAGCCGCCGCTGCCCAGCAGTCCCAGTGGCAGCACAGCTGGCGATAGCCCCAGCCCCAGTCCGGCCGATGGCAAGTCTCCGACGGAGCGTAAAATTTTTGAGCTGCCCGCAGCAACAGGAGCGGCCGCTGCTTCATCATCCTCGACCAATCCCTTCCTGCTGCCAGCTCCCAAAGGAGCTGCTACGGATTTGCTACTGGCCACGGATGCAGACAGTACGCTGACGGCCAGCACTGAGCTGCTGCCTGGCAATCTGGGCTCGGCCATAGCGGGCGTTGTAGGCGGCGGCGCGATCAAGTTGCAGGCGTTGCAAAAATGGTTCAAGGGTGACGCCATCGAGGCGCAGTCACAGCCGCAGACAGCGACGCCGCCTTTGGCTGGCGTCTCTGTGCGGGAGCTGGTGCGTGCTATGGGCGGCCAGGAGCCAGCGCAAGCCCAGTCTCATTCGCCGCGTGGCAATGGCAACAGCCAGGAGAACATTGGCTCCGGTGCTGCCGAATCCATGGACTTTGACATAGCCAGCGTACGCCGCATGAACTATACGGCCAGTCAGACGGCGGCGCTGCTGTCCACGCCCAAGCACACGCCCAGACGGACCGCAGCTGCCTCCGCCGCTGCCGTCGCCCTGGTCAGCGAGTCAGCACAGCTGGACGAAGAGCTCAGCCTGCTCCAGATAACCACAACAACCACAGCAGCAGGCGCCTGCGGGGCAACAGATGCGGCTGGCTCCAGTGAGCATCCAAGTGAGCTGCAGATTGGTCTGAGCCTGAGCAACAATAGCCCCACAGCTGGCAGCAGCAGCAGCGGCACGGGCACGGGCACGAGCAGCGGCTCAAAGCGCAGCCAGGCGATGGGTCCGATCAAGCGTGCGATGCCGCCCTCCTTCGCGGAGAGCATACGAGCGGTATTTGCGGCTTTGCTCTGGCACGAAGGCGTCGTGCATGATGCGATGGCTTGCGCCAGTTTTCTCAAATTCCATCCGGGTCTGCCGAAAGAGGGCGCCACCGTGGTGACGCGCCGCGATACTGGGGATCCGCGATTGCAGTTGTCGCGGGAGCAGAAGGCGCAGCAGCGTCATTCCGTGGAGGTAGCGAATGCTGGTCACTATCTAAACATACGTCCCTCGACGCTGGAGACGCTCGCAAAGAGCGGCAACTGCTCGCTCCACAATCGCAGCAAGCATCGCAAGAATATTATAGCTGGCGAGGATCAGCAGCAGCAGCAGCAGCAGCAGCAGCAGCAAAAGGAAAAGCTGCACGCTCTGCCGGAACTGGTGAGCGTGTTGCCTCCAGCTCTGCGCTGTTTGGTCTACCTCTGGGAGCAAATCTGCTCCGGCTGCGTTCACATTGTCCAGTCGAATGCACTCGAGCAGCGCGAGCCGCGTCTCCTGTCGCCCAGCGGACGCGACGCCAATGGCGATTCGGATGCCAAAGATGGCAGCAAGAGCAATGGCGAGCTGGGCGCCGACAAGGACGCAGCCAAGAAGTGCAAACGGAAGAAGAAGGACGACGGCAGCTGGTGCGAAATCTGTGAACTCTTTCTACCCATGCCCGTCACATATCACATGCGCATCGCCCATCCCGGTTGTGGCAAGTCGGCCAAGGGCAAGGGCTACAACTCGGTGGGCATTTTCTGCGAGGGCTGGGCCGGCAATTGCGGCGAGGGCGGCAAAGGCGCCTCCAGCTGGTTCCTCATGTGCGACGCCTGCCGTGACAAATATCTGGCCAGCACGCGCAGTGCCAACAACATCAACAGCGCCGCCCAGCACGCCTCCAATTCAGGTGAATTTAACAGCTTAACAAATTCTGAATATATTCAAAGATGGCAAAAAATCTTAGCCCTGCCAAACTCTTCAATTTCCGTTCTCCACGTGCAGTCAAAGCTTACATCATTAACAATGCTCCTCAACCGTAAACGTTTTCCTTTTGACCTCTATAGTTACTTCTGTATAGAGCTAAAATGTTAGTTACTACTTCCTTCAAACCCTCTTTTTTTAAGAGTAATATATAATAATCGAATGGTAAAGAAAGCTGAATTGTGAACGTAGGACAGACGAACGAACCTCAATACGGACGGACGGATGGATCTATAAAAGATCAAAGCTTTACATCGAGCTTTACAGAGCTTGACTGCTCCAAGGGAAGTTGCTTTCGACTCGTTTGCAATTCTCAAGGGGATTCTGCCATTTGTCCTATGCAAATGTGTGTGACTTCCTTCATTTCAACCGTAAACGTTTTCCTTTTGACCTCTATAGTTACTTCTGTATAGAGCTAAAATGTTAGTTACTACTTCCTTCAAACCCTCTTTTTTTAAGAGTAATATATAAAGCTAAAATTTGAACGAAGGACAGACGAACGAACCTCAGGACGGACGGACGGTCGGACGGATCCATAAAAGATGCAAAGCCTTACATCGAGAGCAAAGTGTTATGTATATTTAGAGAAAAGAGAAATTATAGTAAGATCGGGAGCTTTCATAGTTTCAGAAAGGGCAGAGCTTGACTGCTCCAAGTTGCTTTCGATTAGATTGCAATTCTCAAGGGGATCCTGCCATTTGTCCTATGCAAATGTGTGTGACGTCCTTCATTTCGTACGGAAAGTAAAATCTAAAATTTCTTTTGCTTTTGCTTTTGTTCTGACGTTTCACAGCTGCCGAAATGAATCTGTTTGGCGTGAAGACAACCACGCTGATAGCCAATTCGGAGGTATACACGACGATGCGGGAGAATGCAACATTTTTGCTGGAGCTGTGCTCGTCCTCGTCGTCGTCGTCTGGCTCCTCGTCGGCTGCTTTGGCTGGCAGCCTGAAGCGCTCGTCACAGCAGCAGCAGCAGCAGCAGCAACAGTCGCAGCAGTCCATGCCAGTGGTCGTAGAGCATCAGCATTTGGGCATGGCCGATCTGAATCTGAGCAATAAGCCGAGCACGAGTCGGGCGGACTCGGCGCGCAACAGTCGCATTGGCCGGCTAAGCGGCAAGTTTACGCCCTTTCGCAAGTCGTTTGTGGGCGTGGCGCCGGCAACGCCGGACAACGTCTGGCTGGCACCGGAGAGCTTCGCGTGCTTGGAGTGCCTGGGCACGGGCCTGCACGAGGATCTGCCCTACGAGATGTTCGGCCTGGGCGCCAATGCCAACGAGAACGGCTACGATCGGGTGAGTGCATGAAGCTTTTACCATCTGTCTGAAGCCTTATTAACATGACTCTCTTTCGCTTTGCTTAGCCCTTGTCGGAGATTTCGTACGAGTCGTGCGAGCCGAACAACTATGAACTGATGTCTGGATCTGTGGCCAATCCGCCAGCCACAGTTGGCACCTTGTCCAAATTCCATCGCAGCTACTCCATGGGTCAGGGCTGGGCAGCTGTGGCGCAGCAGCAGCAGCAGCAGCAGCAGCAGCAGCAGCAGCAGCAACAGCAGCAGCAACAACAGCATCAGCAGCAACAGCAACAACAACAGCAGCAGCAGCATCAACAGCTGCAGCTGCAGCATCTGCAGCCATCGGTGGTGGCTTTGCCGCTGGATACACAGCCCAAAGTGGTGTATCGGAGACGCAATAACTCGACGAGCGAGGGCGATGGCTCGCTGCTCATTTGCTATCCGTCGGAGCATCTGCGGCGACTGGTGCCGCCCAAACTGCTGGCCAGCGTTGCCGTCTTGCATGCACCCAATGCCAATGAGCCGAAGGCAGCGAGCGAGGAGGCAGCCAAGGAGGTAGCATCAGTCCAGCCTGGCTCGTCGAGCCCTTTGCCGGAGCCGAACAGCGCACTGCTCAGCCGACCGGCCATGGCGTTCATCACTCAGAAGCACGAACTGGACCGACTGCGCGTTGCGATGCGCCGCAGCCTGCGGATTGCCGCGTGCCGCATCTATGCGCTGCAGGCGCTCAACTGGCTGCTGCGCAGCGTTACGCAGGGCGTGTGCCTGCACGACCTGATGTGGTGGTTTGTCAGCTCCTTGGCCTTGGGCAGCGTGGAACTGGTCGATGGCAAATACGAGGAGGCCGAACAGGCGCTGGAGCATCCGGTTGCCTATACACAGATCAGCGGACGCTTTGCCCATCTGATCACCCAGTCGCTGCACGTCCTGCTGCAGTCGGTGGCGGATCTGACTCTGCACTTGCCGCTCGGCTCGCCGCTGCAGCGCGTGGCCATTCAGTGCTTCGGCATACGCTTTCGCCAGGCGGACCACCAGTTTCTGCACAGCTCGCACGTCTTTGGCAACATATCCAAGATATTGTCGAAGTCCGATGAGCAGAACGATGCCATGGCCGTCTCCACAATGCTCAATGCCACGGCTGGCGAGGCGCATTGCGATGCCGAGCATAACATAGCCACGGCCAGCAATCAGTTGGCAGCCGGCAGCGTGCCAGGCGCCAAGGTCATCTGCTATACGGATCTGTCCGGCATGTTCGAGGTGACGGTCTCTTCGCGTCCAGCCATGGCTGAGTCCCTCACTGACAACTCAACGGAAACGTTCTGGGAGAGCGACGAGGAGGACCGCAACAAGTGCAAGATCATTGAGCTCTCCATGAACAAGCTCAGCTATGCCTGCAAATTTGTGCTCGTCCACATCGACAATAGCCGCGACATTCAGGTGGGTACAACGCTTGCCCCACTGCGATTAAGAGCAGCCATGCAGCTTAAGCAAGTTCTTCCTTAGTTTAATGATTATTTACTTAATCGTGTCTCATACACAGTCTTTCCTTATTTACGTTCCACTTTCCACTTGCTTATCTTGGCGCAAGTATGAGTCATGCTCGTAGCATCTGTTCGGCGTTTGTTTGGTATTTGAAATCGCTTTTATTTACAATAAAACTGAAACGAACCCATTGACAGAGAAGTACTTTAGAGTCTTTGGCTCTATGGCTCTTGTGCAGGTGCTAATTAGGCGTCAGTGCGACGCTCACACGTAGCACCTAGCAGTGGTTAGCCGAGCTGTAGGAAACCCTTGCTGCAAGGCACACGTAGCTCGTATTCGTTGAATCTATGTTTGGAGTTGACTAAAATAATTCACACTTCTTGATTTCCGCAGAACAAAGTGCTGAATGTCGTGTTTTATGCGGGTCAGTCGCTGGGCGATACGAATCTGATTAAGTCCGTGGATGTGGACCAGAAGGCGTGCGTGTGGATCGCAGCGAAGATCACCGACGAGAGCTCCACGCACTTTCGACTGGAGCTGCACGGGCCGGAGAATACGTTGCGTGTGCGCCAAATTAAGCTGCTCGGCCTGCCCAGCTGCCAGCAGGGCGCAGCAAGTGGCGCAGGAGCAGCTGCTGGCCCAGCCGAGGAGCTGTCGCAGGCGCCGTTGCCACTGCCCCTGGTCGAGCAGCGGTCAAATCTGCGCTTGTCGCACGCCTCACGCATTCAGCAACAGATCTGCGAGTTCGAGACTCTGCGCGTGTTCCGCCTGATCACCGGGCAGGTGTTCGGCAAGCTGATCAGCAATGTGAGCGATGCGGTTAATCCAACGGGCGCAGCTTCACAGGATGCGGCCAACTCGATGCTAGCCGATTCTCTGGATCTGCGCGAGCACATGGTCGGCATTCTGTTCTCGCGCAGCAAGCTCTCGCATCTGCAGAAGCAGGTGATTGTGCACATCGTGCATGCCATACGCAAGGAGGCGCAGCGCGCCAAAGAGGACTGGGAGCTGGCCAACCTGGCGCATGTGCTCAAGCAGCAGCAGCTGCAGCAGCAACAGCAATCGCCGCCAGCAGCCGGACCAGGAGCTGGAGCAGTCACTTCTGCCGCGCCCACTTCCTCCAGCGAGAGCAGCTCGGAGCGCAGTCGAGCACCGGACACCTACTGCTTCGAGATGCTGAGCATGGTGCTGGCGCTGTCGGGCAGCGTGGTGGGTCGCTCCTATCTGTCGCAGCAGCACGGCCTGTTGCGCGATCTCCTGGGCCTGCTGCACACCGGCAGCGATCGCGTGCAGCGCCAGGTAACGGCGTTGTTACGGCGCATTCTGCCAGAAATTACGCCGGAGAGCTTCGCCGAGCTGCTGGGCGTGCAGCGTCTGCCGCCGGCCGACTATAACATTGCCCATCAGAGTGCCAGTGACTTTGATATGAGTCGACTCGGACTGCTGGACATCTTTCTGGCGGTCATTGCCAAATCGCTGCAGCTGCAGGTCAAGGTGAAGACCAACACGGCGAATGCAACGATTGGCGGTGGCTCAGCAAGTGGTCCCAAGACCGGACAGCAGGAGAAGACGCCGGCATTTGTGCGGCTGTGCAGCTCCCTGGACCTGTCCGTGCAGCTGTTGCGCTCGCGCCCAAACACGGCCGAGCAGCAGCTGTCAGCGATCACAGCCAACAACAGCGATCCCTTCCGCTTCGACACAGCGCCAGCAAAGAAGGAGTCGAAACGCAACTTGAACCAACGCTGGTTCCTCAACGGCCTCATCTCCACCAAGCAGGCGGAGAGCATCATCGGACTCATACGCGATCTGGCGAGCGTAAGTACTTGAGTAGAACGTCCACAATGCAAACGAGACTCACGCGTTTATTGTCGTTTACCGAACAGGGCAAGCTGAGCGAGAAATGGTCGCAGATCACCAAGGCGGCCATTGCCGAGTCTGTGCTCAATTTGACGCGGCTCGAGGAGGTCTATCGCACACCGGAGCACTGCACAAAGACAGCGACGCTGTGGCTGGCTCTGGCCAGCCTCTGTGTGCTGGAGCGCGATCATGTGGAGAAACTGTCGTCCGGACAATGGTCCAAGCTGTGCGACACTCGGCCCATGTGCACCAATCACGATGATGGCGAGACGGCGGCCATCATCCAGTGCGAGACTTGCGGCTCGCTTTGCGGCGACTGCGATCGCTTTTTGCATCTCAATCGCAAGACGCGCACACACAAGCGAACGGTACGTCAATCATGTAACTCATCAATCAAGCAAACTTTGTGGATCAATCAAGTCTATGCATAAAGCGAGCAGTTGTTGATCAATCAATCAATCATATTAGACCTAAACGAATTACTCTAGCGCTCAGTCAAAGCAATATATCTTCATCATCAATCAGTCAATCACTTAAGCCATCAATCAAATCTAATCAATCAATCAATCAATATGATCAATCAATTGAAGCTATCAATCAAAAGAATCATTTTTAAATATTTCTCTTAACTGAAAAGGGAATGAAATGTGCATGTATTTTTGTTAATCATCAATCAATCATTCAATCAATCAATCAATCAATCATATTAGACCTAAACCAATTACTCAAGCGCTCAGTCAAAGCAATATATTTTCATCGTCAATCAGTCAATCACTTTAGCCAACAATCAAATCTAATCAATCAATCAATCAATATGATCAATCAATTGAAGCTATCAATCAAAAGAATCCTTTATAAATATTTCTCTTAATCGAGAAGGGAATGAAATTTTCATGTATTTTTGTTAATCATCAATCAATCAATAAATCAATCAATCAATCAATTTTTAAATCGACAGGTGTGCAAGGAGGAGGAGGAGGCCATACGCGTCGAGCTGCACGAGTCCTGCGGACGCACCAAGCTTTTCTGGCTGCTCGCCTTGGCCGACTCCAAGACGCTGAAGGCGATGGTGGAGTTCCGCGATGGCAGTCACACAATCATATCCGGTCCCCAGGAGGCGGTGGGTCGATGTCGCTTTTGCGGGCTAACCAGCAACTCGGGACTGCTGGAGATTGGTAACGTGTGCGCGGATGCCCAGTGCCAGGAGTACGCCTCCAACTCCTGTCTTAAGACCAAGCCGTGCGGCCATGCCTGCGGCGGTGTGGCAGGTGAACGCAAATGCCTGCCATGCCTGCAACATGTGTGTCACGCCCGCGAAAATGAGCTGGCCGAGGAGCTGCGCGATCCGAAGCTCACGCAGGATGCCGACGACATGTGCATGATCTGTTTCGTGGAGGCGCTCTCCTGCGCCCCCTCCATACACGTAAGACCCAGAACATACAGATTTCGATTATGTCTGTCTATATAGATTTATATATATGTATTATGTTTGCTTGCAGCTGGAGTGCGGTCATGTGTTCCACTTTCACTGCTGCAAGGCCGTGCTGGAGAAGCGCTGGAGTGGACCGCGCATTACCTTCGGCTTCTCGCTGTGCCCCATCTGCAAGGCGGACATACAGCATCCACTGCTCGTGGACATACTGGAACCAATCAACGGGCTTAAGCAGGATGTCAAGCGCAAGGCTCTCATGCGGTAGGTTCAACAAGAAAGTAGTACAGAATAGTCTATATATATAGCTCTCTCTCTCTCATAACTGTAAATCTTATTGGAGGTTGATTAGACGAGCGTTTCAAGGCAAACTTTAGGCTCGGAGAAACGCTTTGCACAGTCATTGGTCTATCTTTTCTCACTTAACCGATTATAAAGCTCTGTGGGAGAGTAAACTATTTCTGTTTGTTCAGCAGCTCGAGAACCCCCAACTACTTGGCTTCTTACCAAGCTATATAGTGGGTCAATATTATATAGTTGCTATGCCTTTTCACTGATGAATATGCAATCATTCCCTAGCTAATAGTCTTATTTGTTCTCTATCTCTCGCTCCGTATTAGCATCAAGTACGAGGGCGTGGTTAAGGATACGGACAACAAGGATGTAACGCAGCTGGCAATGGATCGGTATGCGTATTACGTTTGCTTCAAATGCCAGAAGGCCTATTATGGCGGCGAGGCGCGTTGCGATGCGGAAATTGGGGAGAAGTTCGATCCCGAGGAGCTCGTCTGCGGCGGCTGCTCGGATGTGGCCAGGGCGCAGATGTGCCCCAAGCATGGCACCGACTTTCTGGAGTACAAGTGCCGCTACTGCTGCTCGGTGGCGGTGTTCTTTTGCTTTGGCACCACCCACTTTTGCGACACGTGCCACGACGATTTCCAGCGGCTGACGAACATACCAAAGATCAAGTTGCCCCAGTGCCCGGCCGGGCCGAAGGCCAAGCAGCTTCTGGGCGACGAGTGTCCGTTGCATGTGATGCATCCGCCCACCGGGGAGGAGTTCGCACTTGGCTGCGGTGTCTGCCGCAATGCGCAAACGTTTTAGCAACTGCGCGGCCGAAGGCTACGATTGCAACTGGTGCGTCAGGATCTGTCGCCAGACGACGACCAGCAGGAAGCTGAGCAGACGGAGCAGGAGCATGAAGATGAGGAGCAGCAGCGCCAGGCGAAGGACTCTTAGACAACATTTGCATATATAGAGAAAGAGAGGAATAGAAGAAGAGGGAGAGGAAGAGAGGGAGATGGATATGTAGAGGGAGGAACGGAGAGGAAGAGTAGGAAAGCGAGCTAGCAATTAGGGATAAACATTATATACATATGTATGTAAATTCCCATATATATATAAATATATTTTTTTTTTATAAAAAAATAATAAATTATAATTCAAAAGTTGCAATTTTTAGCTATATGTGTATTTAACTAAATTATTTATTTATTGTAATTGTAATTGTAATTAAAATCTAATCAGCATTTGTTTTGCTTTAACTCAATTGGACACACACACACACACACACACACACTCATGTACTCTTAAGTAGGTTCGAAAGAAAGGTTTGCGAGAATTGGAATTGATTGATAAGAAAACAAATTGGGGGAAGCAAAAAAGACAAGCTAAGAGCACGCACTGCGGGAAATTCTTAGATATTTGCCAATTATTATTACCACTATTTCTTTTATTGATACTCACAGCACAGACTCTCATATATTATTTATCGAAATGTAAACAAATTTGAAGCTAATTATATGAACAAATTATTGTAATAACAAAATCATATTTCTTATAAATGTGAAGAGTAAAAGGCGGAAGAAGAAAGGCAAATGTAATTAAATAAAAATAATGAAATTATATAACTCAATGAAACAGATATTAAACTTTTTCGAATTCATCAATGGAATGCATCGGAATTTCGATGCGCCTAGCTATATATATGCTGTGTATATGGGATCGATGCTGATCGAGGTTTTAACTAGATGATTCTCCCCTTACCAAGGGAAATATATACTCCGATATATATACATTCAAATTGATAGCCCCAAAGCGAATGCCACTGCTGACAATTTGGAGGGGGCTTTGGTGGGCGAATTGTGAGCAAAAAGTGGAAGCTGAGATGATTTTTTGTTGCTTGTTACATACCTTGGAATCCCAATCCCAATCTCAATTTACCCAAGTTTCTTCTTCTCCTATTTCGGTCGACCTCAAGCCCACAATTTCCAAATAAAGAAACAGTTTGTTTTTAAAAACATGTATGTATTTTGTTTTTTTTTTTTTTGTATTTTTTCTCCTTTTCTGTTTTTTTAATCATAATTTTTGACCTTGTTCTGCGTATTTTTTGTTTTTTTTTTTGCTGTGTTAGATGTATTTCATAATTTGTTGTTTTTCTTTAAATATTTCTCATAATGAATGCATACGAGCAGTATCTTTTTGGTATTTTTCTGTTTGTAAATTTTATGCTTGCTCAACATAGTCAAAGATTTATTAACATGGGTGTGTGTATGTGTGTGTTAATATCAATGCAAATGTCATAATAATTAATTTACTATACACATTAATTACAGCATTAATTAATTGATTCTCTCAAATAAATTTTAGAACTATTCTTGAATGGTTTCATTTCTTTAAGATTTATTATATATATGTATATATTTTGTTTTTTTTTTTTTTTTTTTTTTTTTTTTTTTTGGTATTTTTATCAGTTGTTCATAAGTTCAGCTTTGTTCTGTCCAAGCGTTTGTTTGCGGATATACTACCTAAATATGTAGTCTCTAAGTTTTCGAGCGTAATTGAACCAAAAACAAACTCAACATCTCATATATATATATATAAATATATACATATATGGACAAACTATGTTTTTGGGGTTTTTTTTAGTTAGTTTTGTAAATATATAAATAGGCAGCTTTATCATGTTCAAAATGAAAAAAGGGCGCGTATTCCAAATTATTTGGTTTTTTTTTAATGCATTTTTCAAATTGTATATAATACATATACATATATACATATGTATATATATATATCTTTATATATATACATATATCTGAATTATGCTCATCAAATTGGTGGAAATTGTTTAACGTTTGCTTTATTTGTTTTTGTATTTGTTTTTGTAAAATTTTGGTTCTTTTTCGTCTAGAGACTAGAGACTAGAGCGCATTACGCATAGTATTTTTTGTTTTTTTTTTTTATTTTGTTTTTTTTTTTTGGTATTTTATCATTTACGTGTTATTTTATTAAGTTTTCTTTTCGGTTTGGTTTGCTTTGCCAGAAAGTGTTGGGCTTTACAAAAAATGAGGCGTGTGTTTGGTATTTTGGTATATTTTCAAGTGTTTAAGGCTTCGGTATTTTGATTATATATATGTATAAATATATATATATATATATATATATATATATATATATATATATATATATATATATATATATATATATATATATATAAATGTGTGTGAGTGTGTGTCTGTGTATAGTTTAATTACAATTGATTTAGTTTTGTGTACATAATTAGTAATTAATTAAGTGGCGTTTGCTTTGCTTTGCTTTGCTTTGCTTTTTTAGTATTTCTAGTTGGTATTTCATGTTAATATTTTGTCTTGTATTATTTCTTTGTATGTTTTTTGTTTTGTTTTAAGATATTCGCTTAGAAAAAAATTCTGGCGTATAAAAGCTTGTTAAGTTATTTCGTTTCGGATTCTTTTTTCTTTACTCGTAATATCTGGGGTTTATCTGTTTAAGCTTTAGAGTGGCTTTTGTATGCGGTATATTAGTTTTATATGTATATATATATATGTTTTTTTTGCTTTTTTCTTGTGGTATTCTTTTCAGTTTGGCGCTGCTAAGCATTTAAAGCAGCTATCTCTATGTGTATATATATAGTGTTTATATGTATGTATATACATTCGATCTCTGGCATAAATTCATCGATAGGCTTGTATTACGTTTGCTTCTTGCATGTAGCTAGTATTTATGAATATCTGTTGACAATGAGTTTGATTTTGAGTTGTTTGAGTGTGTGAGAGTTTTACAATTCCTCGTAGGTCTGGTGTATATATATATATAGGTATATATAAATATCTCTTTGATTCATAAATTTGTTTTTAATATAAATTTTGACTAATTACCGCGCATATTTAGCGTGTTCTATAAATTGTAATTGCACCTTAATTTTTGTTTGGGATTTGTTCAGCTTACTCTTGTTATTTTGTATTTTTTTTATTTTATTTTTTTTTTTTTTTTTTGGTTTTTGTTTTTTTCTTCATTTTTTTGGTAGGTAATAAATTAGTTGTTTTTGGTTAGTTGCTGCTGTTGTTTATTCATAAATGTATAAGGCTCTGTGTAGTAAGCACTAAAACGTCTACAAAAAAAAAAACAATATGACAAACTAAATAAATACTAAATTGGTATTTCGAAACGTTTTCGCTGCGAGCTATGAGCTGGAAGCGAAAGCGTTTTTTCGTTAGTATTATTTACAATCGCGATCAGTCGTTCGACCTGTAAAGACGTGAATTCGAACAGCCTTCGCTTAAGCTCTACTGCTGCAGAGTTCTAAAAATAGAACTTTGCGGTGCATTCTTCAACGCAACAGCAACAAAAACCGCACACGCAGCGTTTTCTTATCGCTTGCTTCCGCGTAACTCAATTGCTTTAATTGCAATTTACGAAATTTCGTCGCTTGGCGCGAGTGCGCCTGCACTCAAAAGCACAATCCGCGATGACATCTAATGTCAATAACCTCGCTACAGCTGTAAAGGTAAATGCAGAAATGCAAGCCCAGCTTAACGTTGTGATGGCAAATAGGCAAGCCTCCATCATGCCAATAAACTCAAAAATAGATATCGCCTCCGTGCAAGGCATCACTAACAACAAAAACACGAAACGTAAACAGCCAAATTCACCAAAAACCATCAAGAAAAGGCTCATCTTCGACGAACCAAGCACCAGCAATGCAGCATTAATATCAGAAAATCGATTTTCACTGCTCGTAGAAGAAGATGAAGACTACAGCGAATCACCTGTAGCTCCAGAAGCCCCAGTATTGACCGACCAGCAAACTACTCCGAAACCTCGTCCGCCCCCCATATGGTGTCCAAACATCAAGTCTGTGGCCCTACTTCAACAGATAATAGATAAAGTAATTGATGCTAAATCATACGTAATTAAGCCAAAGAAGAATAACATAGGTGTATTAACCCAATGCAGTGAGGACTATCGCAGAGTTATAGACCACTTTACTAAGCTGGAATTGGAGTTCCACTGCTACCAGCTTAAGGAGGACAAACCATATAGAGTCGTGTTCAAAGGGCTTCACTCCAGCACTGATACAACACTAATTAAAAAGGAATTGGAAACCAAAGGCCACACAATTACAAATGTGCACAACCCACTGAGCCGTATGGACAAAACACCGCTAAATATATTTTTTGTTGACGTGGCTCAGGCCCCCAACAACAAAGAAATTTTGGACATTCGAGTTGTCTGCAGGCAACGCTGCACAGTGGAACTGCCAAGAAGATACAACGACCTGACACAATGCCATCGCTGTCAAGAATTTGGACACACACAACGCTACTGCCACAAAGCTCCCAGATGTGTGCGTTGCGCCGGGAAACACGCATCCAAAGACTGCACCCGCGAAAAGGACCAGGCACCAACTTGTGTGCACTGTGAGTTACAGCACCCAGCCAACTATAAGGGCTGCCAAGTATACAAGCGGTTGCGCAAATTGCAATCCCCAGCACAAAAAAGGAGTCCCACACAAACACCGTCTACGGGTCCGAGTACTGCTTCCGAAATTACAAGGCCCCGGAGCATTACCCAAGCCACGAGCTTTGCAACGCCTATTAGTGGTGTTTCTTACGCACAGGCCGCTAGAGGTGGACCGTCAAATAAGAATACCACAAGTGACACTTTGTTCACTGAAATGCTTCAGCAACAACAACGTCAGTTTGACGCAATTAATGCCGAGCTCAAAGCGATGCGAGAAGTACAATCCCAACAAGCAACCATGCTAAACAGTTTAATGGCCATCATAACCAAGCTTGCCTACAAATAATGGCTTTACGTGTGGGTATCTGGAACGCCAATGGCCTGAGAAACAAGACTCAGGAACTGGCTGCGTTTCTCTCACAAGAAAACATAGATATAATGTTAATAACAGAAACTCATGAGTGCCCCACTACACAAATTTTCGGATACGAACACTATCAGGCTCATGGTGAA